GACGGGCTGTCCCAGGCTGGGCCTGGGGAGCAGAGGAGGATCAGGCAGGTGGGATGACGCTCCTTTCCTTGCACTCCTCTGCTTTCCGGCAGTTCCAGGTACTGCCTGAGTCACGGGAATACCTTTCTGCTTAATAACTCTTGATAAATTTGCCTTCTAAGAGGTGGTTGCTGTTGCAACCTGAGTATATACCATAGTACTCATCTTTCTTGTGTCACTTGTGAGTTGAGATTTCTGCTTTATTCACTCTTTCTTTGTGTCTTCTTGTAGGCTGAAAAGCTAAGATCTTGTTAACTTAAGGAGTTGTAGCCCTATATGTCTCTGCTAATGCTTATTACCTGTTTCTGGATCTTTTCCAATTAGTTGTTAGGCTTTTCAGTGTGGGAGAGGATCATGTCTTTGCATTTGGGGTACAGATGTACTGTGGATGTGTACACTGATGTAAGAAAGCTTCAATTTTGTAGTTTCTGACTTCCTCATGATACCTTGTGTTCTGGTTAGCTTATTGCTTACTAGAATTAAAACATTTAAGACCTTTATGAAGCTATTTAGTATAGTTCAGTAACTGTCTTCCTGAGTTTTGGTAGCTCAAAGTCTATCATTTCAGAAAGAAAGTTATGATTGTTTTGGGTTTTTTTTTTAACTAGTAAAAAAAATTACAGTAGATGGAAATGAGTAATTACATTATAGGTTTGGGGGTTTTTTGATTCCCCACAGTATTTAGAAATTCCAATTATTATTTTTTTTTTTCCAAGGGGAAAGAAAAACAGAAGCCTTGCAGAAATTTTACGACGTTGGTGCTGTCTCATTAGAGATAAGCAAGTGGCCTCTGGCACTTGGCAGTTCAACTGCCATAGTTGCCATCCTGGTCTCAGGAAGAGTATTTGTGTTGAGTTCATCTCGACTTTGAGGTCGATATTCCTAAATGGCAAGTGTGTGTTGCTAAGTTAAAGAGCAGCTGAGTTGCGACTGGTGGTGTAACTTGGGTGTGTCTGTGCTCACTGGTAGATGGCTCAGTGCATCTTGCAGCTTGGTGCTGGGTTTAAAGGGGGGGAATCCTACTCCAGAGGCCACTCCTACTCCAGAGTGATAAGGAAAAAGGGGAAGGGGCGGTACTGCCATTAGCCAGACCTCTTCCTTGCCTTTATTCCCTTATCATCCTCGGAGCATGAGGCTGTTTGACCCTGTGCAGGCACTCCTTCAGCTGCTGGCTTCCCAGGGTCGAGCCTGCAGACCTGGCATCTCTGCTCTGCTACAGCGTTTTTTGGAAAATAGAGTTTAAAACTATTTTGGCCTCCCTCTCTCCTTTTCTCCACACAGAACAGCTCTGTGTGTAGCACTGCACAAGCCGTGGGGAAGGGGCTGGGATGGCACAAGTGGTAGAAGCACAGCAGAGCTGGACTGATTTATTCAGAGCTGTGTGCAGGATGATGTTAGGTTGCAGTACTGCTGCTTAATGACATCAGTGTTCTGTGCACAAGAAGCTGTGACTTCAAAGTGGCAGTGATGCCTTAGATCACTGCTGCAACTGGGTGACTTAAACCTTTTAGGCCAAACCTTAATTCTGAGGATAGAGGGAGAGAAAACATGTTGTCTTTAAGGTTTGCTTTTGAAAGCTTGTGGTTTGAATCTCAGAAACAAAATTTAAAGCAACTGCACTTTTCTTGTCTCTCAGGCTCGATCTAGCCTACAAGATGGTTTTCTTTTCCCCTGGGAGTGCATTGTGGAACTGAGGAGTCAGGGACAAAGTCACATCTCAGGTCAGATGCTATGGCTAAGTCAGGCATAAGCTGAAACAAAGATACCATGAAACTTCAAAGGGAAAACCATGGAGATCTCTGTTAAAAGTGCATAAAGAAATGTTATTTTCTCTCTTAATTCTCTCAGTTTTTCAGAATATTGTAAGAATATACTGATCAGTATACAAAATGCACTGATCAGCTGGGAAACTTGGCGGATAGTTTATGCTGATGGATGGAACAGTCTTAACAATGAAAAATCATCAGAAACACATAGAAGAGCTCCACTGTTGACATGGTGTTTTGCTGTGCCTAATACTTGTTGTCTTAGAGACAAAAATTTGAGTGGCAGAATTGGAGCCAGGGTTTGGGACCAGTCCAAAAGACCACCTCATCCAACTCTTTTACACTGGCAGCCAGAGCTGTTTTGGCTGTTGCTGGTGGTAGAAATGCTGTAACACCACAGAAGGCATCACTGTTTCTCTTCGGTTTTATTTGTTTTAAGTTTGTGGTTTCCTGTTGCTTCCACAGACTTCAGGGATTGATAATTCAGGACATTCCATATTGTTGTCAATGTCCAGCCTCTATGTCAATGTTCAGTAAATTTTTGATATCAGACTCTTCCCGTGTTTTACAGTTCTGCTGTGTTGAATGTTTTGGTAAATTAATCTGCGAGAAATTAAGTTTTACTTATTACACAGAACTTCCATCCAGCCTTCTCTGTTGGTTTCTTTCTAATATAATCACTCCCAGCCTCTTCAGTCATAGATTCCAGAGATTCAGCTGTCAGTTTACAATGATCTCTACCTAAAGGCATTACTATCTATTTAAAATTGATCAGTGTAATTTGGTTCAATGTCAATGTAAAGGAGGGCTAGTGCAGCGTTAATTTAAAATCTCTGGAAGATGTTTTGGAAACTATTGCTTGAAGAAAAAGGCAAAGAAGCGTTGTTACAAATTATAAATAGCTTTCTTGTTTGAAAAAGTGTGTATCAAAGTGTGTATTCCAGGGTATATCAAAGGTTGTTTTTTCTTCCCTGTTTTGTGCAAGTTTGCCCTGATAACTAGGAAGGCAATGCTATTGATTTTACAGCTCTGGAGTCAGTCATTGGGATTGAAGGTGATCTACAAGCCAGAGCTCACAGTTTTTCTGTGTTAACTACTTAGGTAGGTAATCCCCCTGGTATGCAACTGTGTTGCTTAATGCTTTGACCCTCTGACTCGGTTTGAATAAGCTCATGTTCTGTGTCCCTGCTGACCTTTTGCAGTCAGTGTGGTCTTGGATTGAGCTCTCAGAGAAATTGACCACTCGGGGTTTACCCTCCTAAATGGTAAGATTTATTCCAAATCCTTATTTGCATGGGGAGGACATTTTCTTAGATGTGAAGAAGTAGTCTCTTTGCTGTGGTTGGGAAATTTTGAAAGAACAGCTTATATGTTCAGACTAGGTGGTTATTTTGGTGGGGAGGGGGAGGTTGTGTGTGGTTATTTTTAAGTTATTTTCATTGTTGTTTTTTTTTGTTTGTTTGTTTGGTTTTTTTTTTCCTTTAAAGGCTACAAGGTCCTTTCAGAATCCTTTAAACTTGCAATGTGCTTGAAACAGAAG